CCCACAGGGCCGATCACGGTTCAAGTCCTGGACCTGGAGGCTTCAAACTCATGCCAAGCACATGTGCATGCATAGCTCAAATCCTGAGAGGAGAATGGAGAAGAGGTTGCAGTGTGGCCATCCCACCTGGGGGGGGGTGTGATTTCTCACTTTCTGTCTGTCTGTCTCTCTCTGGTGAGCGTATGCGCCCAAGAGAAAAAAAAAAAAAGTTAATGTTTTACAGAGCAATAAATATCAAAGTTTGGGATTTCTTGCCTTTTGAAGATAAAAGATTTGCATCTCTAGTGGATGTTCCATTTTATAAATTACCTGCCTTCAGGACTGGGCATGGTTTTGCGTGCTTGCCAAACCCTCGGGAGAGCCTGTGACAGGGCTGACGGGTGGCATGTGGCTCAGGTGCTGGATGCCCCAGGGACATGGCCTCCTCCACCTGGCAGGCAGGGCCCTTAGGCTCTTCCTCCTCTGAGCACCCTTCCCCATGTGGCTGCATCAGGCCCCCTTCCCCGTCCCGGGCCCTGGCAGGGAGCTCATCACGTGGTCTTTTCTTGCTTGGAGGGAAGACCCTGGCTCCATGTCTCCAGGTTTGGGGGTGTGGAGCACCCCCCAACTCCTCCCCTTCCCTTCACCTGTGCATGCTGAGTGAGGCCCGGCTGCCCATCCGCTGGCCCTCCTCACACACTGGGACTGTCACGGCCACCTCTGACCACAGTGGAGGCCCAGGCCTTCTCCTTTCTGCCATTTCAAGCCAGCCGGGCAGCCCACCTGCTCTCCCAGAAAGCCTCCTTGTGGGAGAACGAGGTTCTCCCGGCCAGTGGGTGTGGTCTCTCAAGGCCCACAGCCCTCTGGGGGCTAGGTGGGGCAGGGAGCAACACAACCGGACCCACGTCGGGAGGGCCCTGGCTTCACGTCTCAGGGTGTCCCTCTGCACAGGGGCGCACACAGCCGTGACCCAGGCCGGCTGAGAAGGCGGTGGATGCGGCGGGAAGACCCTCTCCGGGGTGTTGTCGGGGTGCTGTCGCTCTCACTCTCTCAGAAGAAATGAATGAATAAACTTGAAAGTGGGGGCCCCCTGCCTCTCTGGACCCCGCACACCCAGGCTGATGCAAGGGTCCAGTCTGGTGCTCCTGAGATGCCCAGCCCTAGCACAGAGCCCCCGTGCCCGAGCCCGCCCCACTCCCCGGAGTCTCCCGTCTGCTCCCTCTGTGGAACGCCCTCCCCACCTCATCTCTTCAACACTTCCTCTCATTTTTATTTCCTTTGTTGTTTTAATTTGCCAGAGGGCGTGACAGAGAGAAGTGAGAAAGCACCCCGGGGGAATGGCCACACCACAGGCCCAGCTTGGGATTTTGGGCACACGCGCACCCACACCCAGCATGATTTTCAAGCTGCCAGGTCTGGGACTCAAACCACACAGTGGCCCATGGGGTCCAGCCACCTTACCCACCAGGCCTCCCGCTGGCCTGCACTCCCTCTAAAGGAGCAGTTACTGTATCTCGAGCACTCACCGGCCTGAGTGTGCATTGTCTCCTGTCGTGCTCACAATTCCATGGAGACGTGACCTCGGCCTCCCACAGCCAAGGCTCAGAGAGGTTAAGTAACTTTTTCAAAGCTACACAGCCAGTGTGGGATGGAACTGGGGTCTGGCTCCCCACGCCTCTCCTGGTCACGTTGCCACCGTATGCTGAGATTAACTTATGTTTCGAAGAAGTCCTGTCCACTGTCTGTCCCTCCATGAGCCTGTGAGCTCCCTGGGGTCAGGGGTGGGGCCGCCATGCCCAGCAAGCCCTCCACAGTGCGTCGGTGGGGAAGGTCCTCCGCCAGGTCTCTGAGGGTCCTGCGTGGGGTTGAGGTGAGGCCTTGCAGCATTGCGGGGCAGTGGGTGGTGGCGGATTCAGGGAGCCCACGACCAGGGCGGAGGACAGATCACCCAGACGTGATCAGTGACGAGGTCTGCTCGCCCCACCGCCAGGCCACGCCAGACCCCACCCTTGGCATGCAGCATGGTGTTTCCTGCAGACTAGCACAGCAACCCCGGCTCCCATTCTGCCCTGTGCTGGGCCAGGGGACTTCAAAAGTGCATGGGAGGGAACCAGCAGTTAGCGTAATGGCTATGTTGCTGGACTCCCACGTAGTCGACTGCGGTGTGTGTCCCGGACCCAGTGTCTTAAAACTCACGCCGGGCACGTGTGCGTGAGTGCCCAAGATCCCGAGAGGAGAATGGAGGAGAAGGGATTGAGGCATGACCATCCCCCCTGGGGGGTGATTTCTCGCTTTCTGTCTCTATGTCTCTCTCTGTCTGTCTGGCGAGCGCACGCGCCCTACAGTGAAAATCTCTCCAAAAAAAAAAAAAAAAAGTGCATGGGAGGGGCCGGCAGGTGGTATAGTAGCTAAGATGCTGGACACCACATGGCCGACTGCGGTTCGAATCCTGGACCTGGCAGCTTGAAACTCACGCCGAGTGCGTGTGTGCGTGTGTGCGTGTGCCCGGGATCCCAGGAGGACAATAGAGAAGGGATTGCGGTGCGGCCGTCCCCCCTGGGGAGGTGATTTCTCACTTTCCCTCTCTCCCTGTCTCTCTTCAGTGAGCACACACGCCCTACAGCAAAAACCTAAGGAAAAAAAGTGGGAAGATGGAATTAAAGTACAAGTCTCTTGTGGTACAAAAAATGTTGGAATCCACGCGGTTTTTGGTTTGTTTTTAGGCTTGTGCCATGCGGTGTGTGCGCTCGCCAGAGACAGAAAAAGGGAAAGCGAGAAATCACCCCTAGGGGATGGCCATGCTGCATCTTCTCTCTGGTGTGTGCACTCATCATGAACAAAGGGAACTTGGAAAATAAAAAGAAAGAAACCTGGCCATGACGCACCAGGGCTGTAAATTCGCGGGCATTCCTCCCACCGACAGGGGGCGCCGTTTCCCTTCCCTTGATCCGGGGCTTTGCAAGTCCCACAGTGCGGCGGGTGATGGCGCACTCCCAGGCTAGGTGACGAGCGGCCACGTGTGTTTCTGTCTCTACTCTCCTGCCATCATCCTGAGAACCGCACCCTCGCCAGCCACTGTCCCCCCGACACAGGGACCCCAGCCTGGCCCCAGCCTGGGGCGGTCGGTCTGCAGCCGTGAAGCTTGGGCTGGGCGGCCAGCACCCTGCGGCATCTTGGCCCCGGGGTGTGGCCTTGGGAGAAAGCTGTTATCACGAAGAAGGTCACGGCAGGGGATGGAGCCGGCGGCCGGACCTGCAGGCCTGTGCCTTCCCCACAGACAGGCCAAGAGCAGCGCTAACGCCATCGTGAGGGTGTACCCCCAAGGCACCCCCTCTTGTCTTTTCTGACCCCACATAGCAGGTGGGCGAGCCAGCAGGTGTGTGCTGGGAAGCTCGGCTAGATCTGAGGAAGTCGGCACAACCCACACGGAATCATTTCTGCCGACTGCGTTAAACCGGGCTAAGCCCAACTGGGACGGTGCTGAGCGGTTGTCCCTGTGCCAGCATGCCCCATGACATGAGCTGTCACAAGGACCCCGGATCTGCAGGCCTTCCCAGAGGTCACTGCCACCCAACACAAGGACGTCTGCCCAGAGACCGCCGGTCCACCCTGGGCCTGATGCCACCCTTGTCACTGCTGCTGGTCGCCAAGGATAATTGTCCCCAAACGACTTATAAAATCCCCCGCCCTCATCTTTCTTTCGAAAGCCCTCGCGGCTCTCTCCCCCCAGTCGCCCAAGACGCCAAAGGGAAAGAAGGCCAGGGGGAGAAGCAGCAGGGCTAAGAAGGTGGTCGATCCCCTGCTGGAGAGAAGGCCTAAGAATTTTGGCAGAGGACAGGACAGTCAGCCTCACCCGCTTCGACAAAGGGCCCCGCTACACCTGCTGCAGTGGCAGAGGCCCCAGACCCCCAGCCAGTCACTCAGCTGCTTACGCTGATCCACGAGGACCGGCCAGGGACCAAACGAGAGAAGCAGCCGAGAGGGCTGAGAGGAAAGCTGCTGTCCTCCCAGCAGGGGTCAAGCCTGTCACCACCCCTCGGCGGGTGGTGACTGTGCATGACATGGCCCCGGTCAAGTGCGCTGTCTTCCTGCCTGCCCTGTGCTGGAAGGTGGGGGTTCCCTACCCCATTACTGAGGGGAAGGCCAGGTTGGGGCGCCTGGTCCATGGGAAAACCCGCACCACCGTCGCCTTCACGTTAACTCAGAGGACAGAGGCGTCCTGGCTGAGCTGGGGGAGCCGTCAGGACCAAGTACAATGACAGGTATGACGAGACCTGCCGTCACTGGGGAGGTAGTGTCCTGGGCCCCAGGTCCGCGGCTCGCACTGCCCAGCTGGCAAAGGCAGAGGCGAAGGAGCTCGCCATCCAACTGGGTCATGTGCACGCGGCCGAGTCTTCTGACAAGCAGGTCCTAAAATGCTGTCCTTCGGCAAGACCAACCCCCACATCCTCTCCTCCCCGCCCCCAAACGCGCGGTGACTTCCTGTGCAAGCCTGTTCCTACCGCGGTGCCCCTCCCCGAGTACGTATCACGGTTCTTTTAGAGGGTCTGTCTCTGTTAGAGGGTGACAGGTGGTCTCCAATGCCCAGCACTTAGACGCCGCTCAAAGGAACTGCCCTTTCTGCCACAGCGGCCGTCCCCGCCAGACACATTTTTGAGTCAGGCCTTTCCCTTCTATTCTCTAGAAGCCTCCACTCTGGCTGGAATCTGAGATCTTGGAAGGCAGGTGGCAGCCTCCTGATGCAGCTGCTCACAGGTGGGTCTGCTGGTTACTCGCCTGGCCTCAGCAGCCTCCAGGCTTCCCTCTCCTGTCGGGTCTTTTCTTCTGCTTCCTTATTGTCCACAGACTTCGGAAATTTTGTCTAAATTGTTTTTCTATCTTGAGATGACCCCCCACCCCCATCTTCTGGCTATTTGCCTGGACTCTGTGTTCCCGCATCGCAGCCCCCCTGGGGCCTGGAGTCTGGTCTCCCACCCATTCTGACTCTCACGCACCATGCAGGCTGCCCTCAGGTGTCTTACCTGGACCTGACTCTGAGCCTCTGTGCTCCGATCCCTGGTACCTTCCTACGTTGTCTGGCCTGCTTTCGACTTCCCCACTCTGCTGTCTCCTGGGCTCTGCTGGGAAGTTAACTCTGCTCCTGAGCTTGTTCTCACAGAAATATGTGCACGGCTTGGGATGCTGTCCGCAGATGGGGGCGCAGCTGATGCAGTCCCTCAGGAGATGGTCGTAGTACTTGCCTTGCTCCTTGCGGCAACTCAGTGACTCTGGCAGACAGAAATGAGTGATGCTGAGTGACAGAGACCTGCAGGAACTTTGAGTCTGACCTCACAGGACATCAAAACAATAATAAAAAAATCACAGTCAACTTCCCAAAAAGCAATACCAGAGCATTCTAAATCCTTTTACGCTATATAAATGGAAGGTTATGCATTGTCCTCTAACTGCTGTCTTAGCTGCATCACATACATTTTGATATGTAGTATTTTTATTATATCAAGTCAAATTTTTTTTTACTTTTTATAATTTCTTCTTTGACCTACAGATTCTTTTAAAGTGCATTTCCTAGTTTCCAAATATATAGGTATTGTCTATCTTTTAAAATTGATATCTACATTGTTACATTGTTGTGTAAGACCTTTATCTGCATTTTTACAAACCTCATTAAGGAGAAACACATTTCAAATTAGAAATAAGGAATAGAGGTGGGAAGAAGCCAGAATCCTCTTTGGCAAATTGAGGAGGAGGGGCTAGAAAGAAGGTAAGGAAGCTCACATTAATATTGTTTCTTCAGTCTTGGTGAGAATTACAGCAGCTTAACTATCAGTGCCAACAAAATAAAAAAGCACAGTGGCTCCAACGTTGGCTGCATAAAAGAAATCTACTTGGGGGCCAGCAGGTGGCGTAGCGCTTAATGATGCTGGACTCCCACATGGCGGACCACAGTTTGAGTCCTGGACCTGGCGACTTGCTTTTTCACTTTCCTTCTCTCTCTCTCTGTCTCACTCTCACACTGTCCCTCATGATCAAATTAAAAAATAAAGTTAAATGAAATAATTCTTTAAAAAAAAAAAAAGGAATCTCGGGACCAGCAGTTAGCATAATGGCTATGTTGCTGGACTCCCATGTAGCCAACCGTGGTTCGCATCCCGAACCCGGTGGCTTAAACTCATGCTGGGCACGTGTGCGTGCGTGCCCAAGATCCTGAGAGGAGAATGGAGGAGAAGGGATTGCGGCGTGGCCATCCCCCCAGGGGGTGATTTCTCACTTTCTGTCTCTCTCTGTCTCTCTGGTGAGCGCACGCACCCTATAGCAAAAACAAACAAACAAACAAAAAAACCAAAAAAAAAACCTCTGCAAAAAAAAAGAAAAAAAAAAAAAAAGGAATTCTGGGACACGCAGGACCCGCAGATTGGGGAATGAGGAGAAGGGATTGCGGCGTGACCATCCCCCCTTGGGGGTGATTTCTCACTTTCTGTCTCTGTCTCTGTCTGTCTGGTGAGCGCACACACCCTATAATGAAAACCTCTCCAAAAAAAAAAAAAGGAATCTCCTTAGAATCTCCTTAGAATAATCATTGACCCTTTGGACAACTTCAGGATATTTTTATGCAAAAGTTTTTAAGTGAAAGGGGCAAGTTTTCCTCATCTTCAAAACAAGATTCTATTTATATGAAAATGTGTCTTGTACATAGATTTTAAGAGCATAATTCAGAGGCAGTGTAGGATAGTGGTTAAGAATATAAACTTCAGGGTCCGGCTGATGGCACAGTACTGGCACAGTGCTCTTAGACGCTGGGCTCACATGGGAAGTTACTGGGTTCACATCCCGTGCCCCCCTTGCACACGTTGGTGTGTGTGTGCCCATGGTCTGGGCTGGCTGAGGCTGAGGGTGGGTTATGGGATGAAGACTGTACCTCTCTCTTGCTCATAGAATAAATAAGTTAATACGCTTAAAAAAATACTTCCAAGCCAGACAGACTTGGGGACATCCCTGGCTCTAACTTGCAGATGGCTGGTCGTGACCTTCCTGTGTCTATTTCCTCGTTCCGGGGGAGGGATACTCATGCTGCTAACTTCTTAGGTTGCCAGGCAGAGCCGAAGTCCCAGCACAGGTTGGGTTCATAGTAAATGCTCAGTTAATGCAGGGTTTGTGCAGAATACTTATCTGAGCCTCTCCACAGTGCAAACTTCACCCACCTTCATGTCTTTGACAGCGTAAAGGAAAAGACCAGAAAGACAATGGAATTCATCTCAGGGAAGACTCAGCCCTGATGGGGCCCTTCCCCATTCCCAAGGATCCCCCGATGCCACCATTGATGACCCAAAATTGTCCCCATAGTGTGACCACCTCTCCTCCTCAGTGGCCCTGTGTGGCTCTTGAGGTGACACCCAAGCTCCCTGACCACTGACCCCTACCACCTGACCTCACAAACCACCAGTGGCCCAGAATTCCACCCTCCATCTTTCTGAGCTGTTTTCCCCCCCTCTGTGTCTTTGCCCCACACTGGTCCCTCTTCCCTCATCTGACTTTTTTTTTTTTTTTGAGAGAGATTTTTGCTCTAAGACATGTGTGTTCGCTGGGAGAGACAGATAAAAACCAAGAATTCACCCCCCCCCCCAGAAGGGAGGGCTATGCTGCAATCTCTTCTCCTCCATCCTCTTGGGATTTGGGCACACACGCACAAGTGCCTGGCATGAGTTTGAAGGTGCCACATCCGGAACTCAAACCACGGTTGACTACATAAGAGTCCAGTGATGAAGCCATTATGCCATCTGTTCGTCTCAGACTTCCACAGCTACAAACTCTTAACAAGAGTACCTTCCCTGTCCCTCCCACCAGCTGGAAAACATAAAAAAATAACAGTAGGCAGCAGGTCTTTTACAAGACAGGAGAAACTGGACATGGCTTGAGTACTAGATTATGTTACAGAATTAGTGCTAGAGGTAATACAATTAAAGCTATATTATACAGGTTTTTTTAAGAGAGATTTTTTTTTTTTTTGGCTATAGGGCATGTGTGCTCGCTGGAGAGAGAGAGAGGGAGAGAGGGAGAGAGGGAGAGAGGGAGAGAGGGAGAGAGAGACAGAAAGCGAGAAATCCCCTCTTCTCTCGGACTTTGGACACACACGCACACGCGTGCTGGTGTGAGTTTCAAGCCACCAGGTCTGGGACTCGAACTGCAGTCGACTATATGAGAGTCTGGCACCTTAACTACTGTGTCAGCTGCTGGCCCCAGTTACATTTGAAATGTTCTCATGTGTTAGGGATGCATAATCTAAGTGATAAGAGGTCTTGGATTTGCTTTAAAATACACGAGCAAAAAATTAGTTTGAAAATAAGGCGGAGTCGTTATGGCTGTCGAAGTCAACGGCAGGGAGCACTGTGCTGTCCCGTCTCGGACAGTGGTGTGTGTTTGACAGTAAAACGTTTCAAAAGGAAAGGACGACTGAGGATGACAGAGGGGGGCTTTGCCGCTCCTGCACAGTCAGAGAGGACCCGGGTATTTGGGCTGAGACGCGGAGGCCGGGTAGGGGAGAAGATGGGAGGGGATGCATGTGAAGCAGGGAGGACAGCACGTGCGAAGGGCCCGAGGCAGGCAAGAACAGGCACATTCCACACACGGGAAGGAAGCTACACGGCAGAGTGGAGGGCCCGGGGTCAGGAGGCGTGAGGGGTCCATTCCCTCTGCCACCCCCTCGCCATCTGACTGCTGGGGCCCACAGGAGCCCGGGGCTGTGAGGAGGGCTGGTCCAGCTGAACCCTGGGCGGAGGCCCCAGAACTCACTGCAGAAGGCTGCACAGGTGCGCTGGCTCCGGTGGCTGCAGATGGGTTTGCAGGAGATGCAGGTGCTCAGGAGAGGGTCCCAGTACTGCTCTTCGGGGCAGGAGCCCATAGCCACCCCTGTCCACAGGCCCTGTGGAGCTGAGAGGCAGGGCACGTGAGGGCGGCTCTGGACTCGGGCAGCTTCTGCTCAAGTTCCTGGACTCGCTCTGTCTCGGTGAGGAGGGGGCAGACCAAGCTGGCCTCCTGCTGCACTGGCCGAGCGACCCAAGCCAGCGCCTCGCTGCGCTCAGCCTCAGTTCCCTCACCTGTGAAATGGCTGTGCCGAGGCCCCCTCTCACGTCAGCCGTGCCCTGTCTTCCGCCCTCCTGAGCACGCCAGGCCTTCCCACCGCGGGCCTTAGTACATGCCGTGCCCCCTGCATTCAAGGCCCCCAGCTGGTTATTTCCTCCCAGCACTGGAATCGCTGTTTAAACTTCATTTCCTCAGGGAAGTCTTTTTTTTTTTTTGAGAAATACTTTAACTTCTTATTTTTTAATTTGCCATAGGTCATGTGTACTCACCAGAGACAGAGAAAGAGAAAATGAGAAAGTAATCCACAGGTCCAGGGCTTGAACCACGGTCAGCCATGTGGGAATCCAGACTCTCCACTACCACGCCGGCAGTTGAGAGGAAAAGTCTTTCTAAGCCTTCCCCAAGACTAGGACACATCCCTTCCACACATTCATAATGCCCCCCTTTTCTTAACTGCCAGAGGCCACATGCATGCAGCAGAAAGAGAAACATAGGGAGACAGATAGCACCCCTCAGTGGGGCGTGGCCACACTGCAATCCCTTCTCTTCCATTTTCAGACCCTGTTGGGATTTTTGGGCATGCACACACGTGCACTTGGAGTGTTTTTCAAGTCATTGGGGCCGGGATTTGAACCATGCTGCAGACCAAGTGGGATCCAGCTCCTATGCTGCAGGGCCAGCCCCATCATGCCCTTTACCTAGCACCGTACAGCGCTCATGGGAAGCTGCCCCACCCTGACTGCACGTCCTGTGGGCCTCCGTTTCTCAGAACACAGGCAGTACTTAGGGCATCACACTTGTCTGTTAAATTAATTCACTTACTCAGGACCAGCAGGTGGTATGGAGGTTAAGGCAGCTGGATTCCACATGGCCGACCATGTGGTTCGAGTCCTGGCCTAGCAGCTCAAAAAATACGCAAGGTGTATGTGCGTGTGTGCCCAAAACCCCAAGAGGAGAATGGAGGAGACGGGACTGTGGCGTGGCCGTCCTCTCTACGGGGTAATCCCCCCCTCTCTGTCTCTCTCTGGTGCATGCGTGTGTCCTATGGCAAACTAAAAATAATAATAAACATATACTTCTTTTGAAACAGACATAAATTCACTTATTGTTTGTATTTATTTAAAGACATACATAGTCACATCAGTGTGACTCTTCAGTACAAGATACAACGTGTAATGACTAACTCGGAGAAATCAGCACCCCATCATCTCGCCGTCTGTCGTGACTTTGTGCTGGGAACACTCAAAATCATCCTTTGTTGTTACTTTGAAATATACAATAGATCCTTAAATATATTTTCCCTCCGTATTTTATAACACTGGAACTCGCTCCTTCTCTGTCTGTAAGTTTGTTTCCATTCACCAACACCTCTCAGTTCTCCGTTTCCATCCTCCCCAGCCTCTGACAGTCTCGATTTTTTGAAAGCAGACCTAGCCAGTGTCTAGCAGACGGCAAGCATTCAATAAATGTCCATTTCTGGGGACCAGCAGTTGGCGTAATGGCTATGTCGCTGGACTCCCATGTAGTCGACTACAGTTCGAGGCCTAGACCCGGCGGTTTAAACTTACACTGGGCGCGTGTGCGTGCGTGCCCAAGATCCCAAGAGGAGAATGAAGGAGAAGGGATTGCGGTGTGGCCATCCCTCCTGGGGGGTGATTTCTCACTTTCTATCTCTGTCTTTCTGGTGAGCGCATGTGCCCTATAGCAAAAACCTCTCCAAAAAATATAAATAAATAAATAAATAAATAAATAAATATCCATTTCTTTCCCTTTTTCTTTCCTCTTTTGTTTTCTTTTTAAATTCTTTTTTTAAAATTTTTGCCCCTATGGCATGTGTACTCTCAGGAGAGAGACAGAGACAGAGACAGAGGGAAAACGAAACATCACCCCCCAGGGGGATGGCTGTGCTGCAATCCCTTCTCCTCCATTCTCTTTTTGGGATTCTGGACATGCATGCACACAAGTCTGGCGTGATTTTTAAGCCACTGGATGCAGGACTTGAATCGTGGCCTTGTGGGATCCAGCGCCTTAACCACCATGCCACCTGCCGGCCCCTCTTCCTTTTTACTGAGGTATAGGGCATGCGTGACGGTGTGTGTGGCGTGTACAGTCTCAGCGCACAGCTCGGCGAACTTGTTCATCTGTCTACACCTGTGTCACCACAACCCACACAGAGAGAGAGCATTTCCTGAGCCTGTGAGACTCCCCTGGGCCCCTCCTCCCCAGGGCCCACTCCTGCGGTGACCACCGTCTGTCGTCACAGCCCACGTCGCCCACCTTGACCCGTGTCTGGCTCTGTGGCTCCGCACCACCCCAAGGCTAGTCCGTGCGGGCGCCCCCTGAACCCTGCACCTCTTCCCTGGTGTGCGTGGTCACCTCTCTCTACCTCTGAGGTCCTGCCCCTCGCTTCCCTCAGCACCGTCTCCTTCCAGACGCAGCGGCTTAAACACCTGGGTTCGTCTTCCTTCCCTCTCGAAACCCTGTGAAACTGGCAGTGAAGAGCTGCCCTCGAAGATCGAGCAAATGGAGGCAGCAGGAGACAGAGGCCAGCAACGCTGTGGAAGGTGGGAGGGCTGGGCTGGCTGCCTGCGGTTTGAGATCGCTCGTTCGTGACGCCCAGAGGGAGGATGGGAGCTGCCTGGAGCCCCAGAACCCCAGGAAGTCTCTGGACTCAGAGGCACCAAGAACCTGTGACAGGAGGGACCAGGCAGGAGGCAGGGAGCCATGGCAGAGGACTGGCCAGAAATAACACAGAGAAGGCTGGAGCCTACCTGACCGCCCGTCACCCTCTCGAGCACAGCTGGGGTGGTCACGAGGGCCTTTGGGCAATAGGGGCATTGAGAACCTTCCTCCAGAGTGGTCAGTCTCCCCTTCCACACCCACCACAGTCACTCCCTAGGCAGTGCTGCAGCGCCGGCCCGTAGCACAGCGGTTGAGTGCATGCACAGAAAGTTGGATCCTATATGGCTGACTGTGGTTTGAATCCTGGCCGCAGTGGCATGAAAAACACACCAGGCACATGTGAACCGCTGCCCAAGAGCTGGACAGGATGGAGAGATGGAGCAGGGATTGTTCTGTGACCACGCCTCGTCGGCAGCACACACACACCCTCAACAACAAAGCAAGGAAAGAAGTGCTGCAGCAAATTAAGAAGAAAAAACCACTCCCTCGTGAGGCCGGGCAGTGGTGCAGAGGGAAGGCAGCAGGACCTGCTGGGAAGGACCCTGGATTTACACCCCGGGATGCCATGAGCTAGGCCCGCTGAGGCTGGGAGGAGGAAGACTCTGTTGGTGGAGGAGAAAGACTTCTCTCTCTCCACCCTCCCCACCCCCTTGGAAGAAAAAAAAAGAAACTTTAAAAAGATTCAAATATTTCAAGACATCCCCTCCCCACCCTGCAATTGTCAGGAAGTCAGTAGATTCTGCTCTGGGAAAACACCAAAGGCAAGACCTAGAAGCGTGACACTGGGAGATTCTCTATCGCAAGTGCCAAGTCCCTGCTGGGAACGCACTACCTGTCTGTACCCAGAACCTCCAGGTAGTTGTTTGCGTCTCAGTCCGACCTGCGACTGAGCAACAGCCTAGGGTCGCCTCATAAGAGGGTCTTGAAAAAGTCCATGGGAAAGGTATCATAAAAAGCCCATAAGGTTGGCCCTGCAGCTCAGTGGTTAACGGAGCTGGATCCCACATGGTTGACTGCAGTTTGAATCCCAGCTGCAGTGGCCTGAAAAACATGGCAGGCGCGTGTGTGTCCAAAATCCTGATGGGAAGGGGAATAGAGGAAAAAGAATTGCAGCATGACCACAGCCCAATGGAGGACGCTTTCTCCCTCTTTCTCGGTCTCTCTCTGATGAGCACATTCTCTACAAATCTAAAAAAGAAAAAAAATTGTACGTGGATTTCAAAAAAAATTTTTTTGAGAAAGTTTCGCTATAGGGCATGTGCGCTTGCCAGGAAGACAGAGACAAAGAGACAGAGAGCGAGAAATCACCCCTTGGGGGGATGGCCACGCCGCAATCCCTTCTCCTCCATTCTCCTCTCGGGATCTTGGGCATGCACACACACGCGCCCGGCATGAGTTTTAAGCCACCAGGTCTGGGACTCGAACCGTGGTCAACTACATGGGAGTCCAGCGACATAGCCATTAACTGCTGGCCTCTGGATTTCAAAATTTTTGGAACCCAAATGAAATTGTACTTTAATTCTATTTTCCCATGCACTGTTTGGAGACAATTCTAAAATAGCAACGGTAGCACTTGATACTTCCAGAAAGGGAAGAGAAGATTTTGCATTCACATAAGTAATAATGGATTTCATTTCATTTCATATATGTGCGTGTATATACATATATATATATATATAATATATATTTATCTTTAGTTTAGTTTTCTTTTCCCCTATAGAGTGGGGTGCGACATAGAGACATAGAGACAGACAGAGTGAGGGAAAGTGAGAAAATTCCCCTGCCCCAGGGAGATGGCTGTGCAGTATCTTTTCCTCCATTCTCCTGTCGGGATTTTAGGAACATATGCACATATGACTGGCTGGATCCAGGACTCAAACCACTCAGCTGGCCATGTGGGATCCAGCACCTTAACCTCCACACCACCTGCTGGCACAGTGTGCAATATTTTTTAAAAATAAGCGTTCACACAACAAATACGAATTATTAGAAATTTAAAATACAACAGCTACCAATAGAATAAGAACATTGGTAGAAAGGTTGGAGGATGTAATTGAAGACATTCCCCCAGAAAATAGGAAATAAAAGATATAAAATGATGGGAACATTTCAAGAGGTCCAAAAGTTGATTAATGACATGAAGGACCTCAACCTCTAGACTGGAG